AGGTAGGGGAACGTGTTTGCGTCAAGGCTAATGAGTTGGACAAGAGTACAACATCTCTAGGAAACTAATGCCACAATATTTCGATCCCTGGGAAGTCTTAGATATTGTGGGTAGTGATTTGGATGGTCCCTCCTACGTGATTCAAATCCCTGGTCACCTCCGCACTTACCCGGTGTTTCAGCCTCAAAGCTTGCACCTCTCGTTCCCATCAAGGAGATCAATGCTGCCCCCAACCATGGATGGTCACGTGGACGAGATGATATCCCGGAACACAGAGACATGCCTGTTCCCAAGCCAGCTGGTCGTGGAAGGTCGCCTAAACCTATGAGAGAGTAGCGGGTGCGGTTCAGGCAACAGCGTGACCGAGTACGAGTGAAGACTGAAGGGGAAGGCACCGACCTGAAGCATCTCAACGGACTTTCGAAGCTAAGGAGGATGGGATGCGAGGAATGAGCCCTCGCAGGGCCCTTATCGGACATGCACATGTTTTGGGTTGAGGCTCAGCAAGCCCCGTGCCTGCCCTAAGTGAAGGCGGGCCTTTCACCAGAGGCCAAAATTTGACATTTTCCATATGAGGGTACTCAAGCAGTTGCAGCACGCCAATTGGTTGAGAGGAGGCGTGAGCCTCACTATGCTGCGCCGTACAGTTGAGCCCAGGCCGTGGTAGTACGCCTGGGCACACACACACACAATGCAAGGCGGATACATCACGAATTGGCTACATGCCTACGAAAAAGCAGCATTGTCAACGTACATACCCTGGGTCCTGTGCAAATGCAGCAAACGGTCCAAGTCTGGAAATAGTGGTCGTGCCCAACTGTAAAGGTCCCAGGCCCTCAAGTGCTGCCAGGGGCAGGCATTTTCTGGCCCATGCAGGCAATGCGGTCACGCTGCTGCGTTGCTGCACGAGAGGCTGCGTGTTGCGTTAGCGGACAGGGCGGGTGCGGGCGCGTGTGAGGTGAGAGGGGCGCTGCTGGGCAGCGGAGCGCAAGCAGCAATAGCCGGTCTGCAGGGCTAGGCAGTGAGGGGCGATCAGTGGTCTTCAGGAAGGAGGCGAGTGTGGGTGATCAGGGTCTGATGAGAGGAGCCAAGATACGTACCCGGTGCATGAGCGAGGTCGACTATGGTGTTGACGCTGTGTACATTGGTCTTAAAAGTCGAAGACAGCCTGTTGTGTGAATGTGGATGTAGTAGGATAGGCAAGTAGTGTAGGCTGGGCGCTGGGCCCTAGACAAAGAGGAGCGACATTGGATACTGTGTTGGTGTGGCCTAAGGGCTTGAACATTGGCTCATGAGTTCAATGTATTGCTCTTATCTGGATGGAATCTCGGTGCATTTGTGCTCTCTACTTGTACACGACTACTTGGACGTCGGTCTGATTTCGCAACTTGGCTTTCTGTATATCGTTCTCACACATATTCATTGCAATAGAGATTCCTCGTATATTAAAAAATATGTGAGGCTCAAGGCCTCAATCTGCCCTTGTACAGTCGGCGGCCCTCAGTGAAGGCAGCTCGACCCAAGGCCTACAGGCCTATTTTTGGGGTCACCACGCAACTGGGTAAATTCAAGCAGTTGCGCAACGCCAGTTGGTTGAGAGTGCCCAGGCCCAGGCTACCTTTTTTTTATATGTAACTGAGGCAGGCCCTAGGCCAGATACGCAACATGGACCGAACACAGGCCGAGGGCAGCTAGACAAGGGCAACTACCAGAGGCCCAGGGCCTGATTCGTTTGGACTAGGGCACAACCTCTCTGGGCCTACCGGAAGCTTCTGGGCAGGGGCCCAACGCAGCCAGGCATCACGCAGCAGGCAGACAATTTCCATTTAGGAAAGTGCCTGCCCACGCATTCCTCATTCAGGCACTGGCTGCATGTTGCGCAAGCACTGCTGCACTATACGTTGGTCGGCGCTCGCGCGCTCACGGGCAAGCTGGAAGGAGCAGGCAGCCATAGCCGAGCGGCGCTGCGGTATGTTGGATGGGGCGCATGGTCTTTGGGTGCATGTGACATCTGTGAGTTGGGGATCGAGGTTATGAGTGAAGCGAGAGACATACCCGGTGCTTGAGGCGAACGACATTGGTCGAGATCTGCTCGTACTTCAGGGAGTTGTTGACGTCATCAGCGGCATTGAAGATAGGCTAGATAGGGTCTGCCACTTGTAGTCTGGGCGCCGAGTGCCAGATAGGATGTCGACATTGGTTCTTTGTTATTGATGATGAGACTATTCGAACATTGTCACTTACGAGCTTTTGCTGTGCTCTTATTTGGTGGGACTCGTGATGCAATTCTGCTTTTGGTTCGAGGTCACGACTATCTGGTCTCATGTGTATGATGCTGCTTGGTTTCGGAAATTCGCTATTGCTCATTTCCTTGCAATTTGCTATCGGAGCGCTCATCTAGTGCTCGTCTTCTGCCTAGGGATACATGCACGTGGTCAGCTGAGCGAGCGGCTGTGGGAGGTGTGTAGTGAGGAGGGTGAAGGCAAGTAAGACGACCCAGGAGGTGAGGGGTATCGCCAGGAAGGCTACTTGGTAATTATTGGGTGTTCGCAATGTGATGAGAACCATCTGATGTGCGATTGATGCTGAGGTGGAACGGCGGTGTAATGCTGGTTGTGCTGAAGCAGCGATTGGTCATCACAATCGGCATCAGGTCATCTGGTGAGAATATATGTGGTTGGGGCAGCTATTTTGAGGTACGTTGCACCTAACCTTATCTACCCTCTTCGACACTTCTTACCATGAGGATGTGTTCTGTCTTGAGAGTTCTCTCATGTGAGGAGTCGAGTGCGCTCTACCTTGAGAGTTCGCATTATTCACGTGGATCATCTGAAGGAGTGGGCGGAGCTATCTAAAGGGCCCTGGGCAAAGCACTGGGTCACGGTCACCAGGCCAACCCACCGGGAGTAGAGCACGCATGCTTTGCTGCTTTGTCCTTTGTCAGCTCGCCGCGCTATAGATGGGTTTTGAGGGGCAGGCCAGCCCTATGAGAAAGATGAGTACCGGACGTCTGTAATTAAGTACCGGTGGGGACCTTCCATTGGTTGTGATCGTCGTCCTGTCTGCGACGGACGTTAAATAATTCCCGAGGACTTCGGGGGCCGTCCATAAAAACGCCTCCTGATCAGCCAATCGGTCGGTGTAAGGCTCGTTGCACGCGAGGATAAATATTGTGCAGGCCTGGCCAGCTCAACAGGACTCGGGGCACAGGGGTGGGCCGTGTGCACACCTTTAGACATGCACGCTGTTCCAGATTGCTCAGGGACGCTGAAGACAAGAGACATTCAGGAAGAACTGAGGGAGGGGTATATTCCAGGTGATAAGTTTGGGAAAGATTCCACTTTGCAAACAGCCAATCAAATGATTCTATTTTTATTTTGACTAGTTAGATGTACAACCATTAACATCTGACAGACAACATAGTAAGAACAGTTCTCTGTTCATTGCGCTTTCTGTTTATGAACTAGTCAAAGTAGAAATAGTTTCGTCTGTAGGACTCTGAACTTACTTGTTGGACCCAAATGTGTAGTCCGACATAGTCACCGATTATTTATTTTAAATCGGTTTGTACATCATGCTGCGATAGGCATCGACAGTGTACACTGTTGTAGCCTATGAGTGACAGGGAGGTTCCACAACCGAACGATAGGATCTTGCCATTGGCAAGACACCCGATAGCCCACTTGGCATCAGGACCAGAGGGCGACAGACACCGGTTCCGCCTGACGAGAGAGAGACAGCAGCAGCAGCGGAGGGCTAGGGCCGCAGAGGCAAGCAGGGCACTCGCAAGCGAGGCCGCTACTTCAGCAGCCATGGCATCTGCTGCGCAGTAGAGCTCTCAGGCTAGTAGTTCAGGGAATGTAGGGTCAACGGTCCCACAGACCGTGAGTCAGTCCATTGGCGTTATGGCAAGCTAGCCGATAGTGTTGACCCCCGAGGAGGTCGCCATACAGCGAGCAGCTATTCGCCAGGCACAGCTACAGCAGGTGTTAGGAGAGATCAAGACAGAGAAGGAGAAAATGAGTAGAAGAAGAAGAGCCAGGATACAGCGGAGACAAGCGGACATTAGTGAGTTAGAGGAGATGGATCTGATGCTCATGGATGATAATGTGAGGACCCTATGGACTGTCCTGCTAGATGTAGTAGAAATGCAGGACCTTTAGACAACTCTCTTACAGGACATCCAGCAGAGTCTGGCCGTATTGGTTGGACGGGCGCCTAAGCCTCAGTGGAAGGCCACCTAAACCTATGAGAGGCAGCTCCATCGCCGTCCGGACCCGGTGCCTGGCCCGTTGTGCATCCTCCTCCTTTTGTCCCACCGGTGACTGGGGTATCCCCATATGTCTCTCCAGCATCGGTCGAAGCCACTTCCCTAGGTATGCCGCTAACAGGAGGGTTCTCAGCAGGTCCTAGCGTACAGGTTCGTGTACAGACAGTGTATTCCCGTGACTGGGCAGCCTGCTGTCTCGCAGCCAGCACAACAGCTGGGCACACAACCCCAACAACAGTTAGTGCAGCAACCTGCGCCCCAGGGTCCACAACCCGGAGTGGGGCAGGTACCGGGACAAGGCCAGTGGGTTCCGAAGACGGCCATGGCCTCCCCCAAACCCTTCATAGGGGACGAGGGGCGAAGACCTCGACACATGATTGAGGTCAGTGATAGTCTATGTCAAGTGTAAATTGACCTTGCCGCACAAGGAAGTGCTTGTGGCCGCCCACTATTTAGAGGGGAGTGCAGCAAGATGGTTGAGTGGTTCAGTGCAGCTACAGGGATACGGCCATGACTTCCGCACTTGGGCAGTTAAGCAGAAACTGGAGGACTTCCTTAAGCTGGTGGAAGATAGGTGGCATGATCCTCAGGAGGCTCAAAAGCCCACTGACGCGATCCTGACTTTGAACAACAGACAATTCAAGTTAGAAGGGAAGCCACAGACGCCGTAGAGCGTCTGATCTGTGGTCCTGGAGTATGCTATGACCCCCAGGTCTTACTCACTGCATACCTGAGATGTTTTCCTTTGCCTCTCAGGGATCAGTTGGCAGGTGAGGCCAACATCAATATGCACAACTTTCCCTCTTTCAGCAAGAAGGCCCTAGACCAAGAGGCAAAGATAGGGCATGGACATACACCCACGACGGACGGTAGGAAGAAGACATTGCCTCCCAACTGGAAGGCGAAGGGCCGGATAATGCTCGTCGACAACGATGGTTCTACCATCGACTAAGAAGACTTCCAGGCGGGAGCGGGTTCGAAGGCAGACAGTTTTCAAGTTTCAGGGGGTGGAACAGTCGCTGCCTCTGTCTTGAAAGGTAAGGCGACCGGTAGACGTTGTGGAGGTTCTCTGTTACAGACTCCGCCAGGGCTCGATCCCTGATCTATCTTTTTGTTGTTTCGGCTGCATCCCGTTTTTGGCCTGGCACCCTTTTTTCAAACCCCTCCTTTCGTACCGTAGGATTCTGGACAACTGGCGCCATGCTGCAATTCGGGCGCCACTTTCAAATAGCGCATTTTTCAGTTCTGCCCTCGGGGCCTTTGCAGAAATGCCCCTGGTACCGTACGTGTCACCCATACTTATACCGGCTCCCCGTACAGTACGGGGACCAGCCTCGTACCAGTTTCCAGCTGTTGTACTCGTACTCAGTGTGACTTGCTGTTTCGGCATTCGGGATTCCCAGACTTCGACTTTGTGCCCTTGCCACAGTGTCTACGTCCGACCCTCAATTGTGTCGAGTGAGTGAGTGTGTGTGTGTGCTCTCACTCTCTCCCTCTCTCTCTTCCTCTCTCTCCTCTCCCTCGACTCTCCCTCAGCCTCGCGCGCATTACACTGGTATCGGAGCGGTTCGAACCCGCCCAACCACCCTACTTCGTCGCCATCACCTGGCCATCATCAGCATCATCGTCGTAGTGCCACGTCATCGTCGTGATCGTCGTCGTAGTGCCACGTCATCACCGTCATCGTCGCGATCGTCGTCGTTGTGCCACGTCACCATCGCCGTGCCCGTCGTCCTCGTCGCCACGCCGTGCCATCCTTGTCATCGTCGTTGCTACCCCGCGTAGATAAGTAATTGACGACAATTTTCTTTTTTTTATTATTTTTTTTTAATTCTTTTCTTCTTCTTCTTCTTCTTCTTCTTTTCATCTCGGTCTTCTTCTTCTCCTTTTCATCTCGGTCTTCTTCTTCTTCTTCTTCTTCTTCTTCTTCTTCTCCTCTCCCGTC